GTGCACTGCCATACATCGACGGCGTCTCTGAGGCAGTTTCCCGCCTCCTAAGGCCCTTGGGGATCGGGATCGCTCATCGACCAGACTCAACCATTCGGCATTTGGTTATGAGACCGAAGGCCCCCCTGCCACGAGGTGAGACGACAAACGTCATCTACCGGGTCCAGTGTAACTCTTGCCAAGCAAACTACGTCGGAGAGACAGGCAAACGGTTACAAATTCGCGTTAACGAACACATGCGGGCAGTGAGGAGAATGGACCCATAGTCTCTGGTGGCGGAACACTGCGCGGACTCTGGACACACTTTTGCCTTCCAGAACGCCAAAATTCTGGGTCGAGGCAACGACCGCGTAGCCAGGGAAACGATCGAGGCCTGGCACACGGAAACAACCTCAATAAACCGTTGCGTCGCCCTCCCGACAGCATACCAAGCCCTCCGGACGCAGCTCAACGAACTAAAGGGCAAGCGCGAGGTCAGGCCGGACGTGAATCTAAACACGGGAGAGCCTACGACGGACCTACACGTAGCCACACCGCAAATCGGGCCCGACGAAGGCGCAGTCATCAATACTGTTGCCTCAACTACTACTCCGGCAGACGGGGAGAAACGCGATCAGAGGGATGCAATCAAGACTAGCCAGTCTGTTTTCCGCTCGGCCGAGCACTTGGGCGCCGTCAAAGTCAAACCGGTGGTCATTTTCCAGACTGTGCATGGCGACATGTGAGCGCGCATCTTTCCGCTTGACGGCTAAGGTGTGCTCATGTATGCGCGTTTTAAGTCGTTTGTTTGTCATGCCGCAATAGTTGGCCTGACAGTCTGGGCAGTTGACGCAGTAAATGACACCGGACATGTCCTCAGGGGGCAGCCTACCCTTTGGCTGCATGACTAATCGGCGGATGGTGGCTTCCGGTCGGTGTCCAACGCCCACGTTTAGTGGTCTTAGCATTCGCTCAGTGGCCTCAGAGACGTTTCTCATGTAGGGCAAGACACGGAGTACCTCAGGTTTTTGGTTCGCCTCACCGTCAGTCTTTGTGTGTCTTTGGAACAGACGTTTGTTTACGAAGCTACGTAGGTATCCATTGACAAGGAAGAGGTGCCACAGGGACGCACGCTCTTTAGCTTCTCGGCCTATGTGCTGCAGTGCGTGTGGATGCGGCGAAAAAGCGTCCGGACGCAACTGCGTTTATGCGACAGCGGATGGTTGCTGTTGTAGTGGAGTATTTTCTCTGTGTTTGTAGCTTTTCGGAAAACACCGGTCTGGAGGGTTCCATCTTCCTGCCTCGTTACCCGCACGTCGAGGAAAGAGAGCGTTCCGTCCTTTTTTTCCTCCATTGGGAATTGGATTTGTGGGAAGATGGAGTTTAATTCTCCTCAGAAGGCCTCCTTCGCATCTCGGTGTAGGACGACAAAAGTATCGTCCATATAGCGCATCCAGAATTTTGGCTTGTAGGACCGAAAAACACGAGTTTCCAGTTCCTGTAGTACCGCCTCAGCCAGGTAGCCGGAGGTCGGGGATCCCATCGGTGTTCCCTGGATTTGCTCATAAGTATGGCCGTTAAAAGTGAAATACGTGCATAAGCAGTAGTCCAGTAACCCCATCGTGTGCTTCCTTTTAAACGGTTTTTCTTCATCGTCGTACTTTCGCTCCAGTAGCTCACTGATGACTCTCATGGCCAACTCCTTAGGGATGGAGGTGAACAAAGAGACGACGTCAAAGGATACCATGATCTCATCGGGGGCTATTGTCACGCCTCGGACTTTTTCTAGGAAGTGCGTTGAGGAGGCGGCTGTGTGTTCGGAGCCCTCCGTCAGCTTCTTTAAGTGCTTGGTAAGCCATTTAGCCAGTCCGTAGGTAGGTGTGCCTTTCAGCGCTACGATGGGTCGTAGGGAGACATTTGGCTTGTGGATTTTTGGCAAACCATAGAAACGCGCTGGAGCGGCATCTTGCGGTCTCATTTGTCTCCAATCGTTTTCAGATATCGCCTTTTGGCTCCTCATTTGATTTAAGCCATTGTTAATTTTGCCTACCAGTGTTTTTATGGGGTCAGAGTCGACGACTCTGTATGACTGGTTGTCGTCTAGTAGTTCCTGGGCATTTGCGACGTACTCTGATCTGTCCAAGATCACGGTTGCCCGTCCTTTGTCCGCTGGAACAATGACTATTTCTTCGTCCATCTTTAATTCCCTAGTGGCCTTTAATTCGGCCGTGGAGATGGTCCGACGTGGCTTGTGGGATATGATAAGCGATGACACTCGCTGGCGAATGGAGTTTTTGGAGTCTTCTGTGGTATCTGTCTTTGCGAGTGTCGCTTCCAATGCCGCAATAAAATTCAGTGGCTGCGCGTCACCTGTGTTGTATCCAGATTCGTGCTGAAGCACTTTAATCTGGTCGTCTGTCAGCTGTTTGGATGAGAGGTTGTGGACGGACGGTGGTTCTGACATAGCTGCATCTGCCTGCTGTAGGGTACGCATTTTGTTCAGGAGTTGGACCCTCTTCTTCCCTCGCTCTACGTTCACCTTTATTGAGAACCAGCTCTCCAGGTTGTGTAGTGTTTGATCCTCCAGTGTGATGCACTTGGGAAGAAATCAGTCTTGACGTGGGAATTACGAGGTGCCAACAAATCTGTAGTGGCTAGGCGGCGAGAGTGAGTGCTCTGAGGGCTACAGCCACCCGTCAAATCCCGTGTTAAAAGGAGAGGACGAGAGGCACTAGAATTAAGGGTTTAATGTATACAAAACCCGGAGATGTCATCCCAGGTGGCAATGACCACTGGCGAAGCCAGGGCTGGTGTTGACCGCGTCCATTCGAGCCTGAGAGTCCCTGAGACAGCGGTTGCAGCCGCTATTGTAGGCTCGTGGACCATGCTAAAGTGGTC